GGGGCGCGGGCGGGGCCCGAAGTTGGCGCGGGGGGGCGGCCCGGCCCGGCCCGGGTCTGCCCGTGGTGTGAACGGGCCGCCAGGCCCCGGCGTGCACACGCGTGTGCTGGCGAGCGGGGCGAGCGGCGCGGCCTGCGCGTCCGCGGCGTTTGCGCAGCGCGGGCGAGCCGCCCGGGGGCGCGGGGCCTGCGGGCCCGTGTGCGGGCCGTGCACACGTGTGTCTCGAGATGCGTGCTGCCAGGCGCGCCCGTGCGTTCCCCCTGCTCCCTGCTCGGCCGGGCCTGGGCGTGTGGGCTGCTGCGCGTGAGAAGCAGGGCCGAAACACACGTGTCTTCCCCCCGTGCACATTTCTGGAGGAGCGTGGAAGGCAGATCCTGGGTTGCAACGTGAAGGATCCCCGTGGTCCGTGCACACGAGCAAGTTCACTTTGCATGTGGTCAGCAACATCCGTGCAAATCCGGTCTGTACACGTGAAACCGTCGGCCGCTTTTTCCGGCTCAAAAGGGGCCTGCACTGCCTTCCGGAGTGGAAGCACGTTGGACTTTTGAAGTTGCACGTGTGTGCCAAGTGTGTATGCAGAGGGGAGGGCACTTGTGGGTACGTGGCCAACCCGTGTGTATTTCGGATTGCTTGTTCCCATGCGCATTAACGGGGGTTTTGCCCAACAGGGAAGCCTTTTTTACCTCCTCAGCCGCCTTGAAGAGGGTTAAGTTGCGAGGGGCGACAGGTACGTGTGGAACTGAACTCTGCACACAGACGGCAAAGGCCAGTCGTGTGTGTGTGTGTGTGTGTGTGTGTGTGTGTGTTCTCTCCCTGTGGGTGTGAGCGGGAAACAACCTGCCCTTTACGAGTGCTTGGCAATGAATGCATCTAGGGAAGGGCTTGGCCTGCGACTTCTTATTTTTACACAAGCACAAGTGTGAGCATTTTACGAGCTGTGTGTTGCTGCAGCGGTGTGCAAAGGCTTCTGCCTATGGGAAGCGGCTAGATAATCTGGAGAGGCTGTTGACATGTGAACATCTCGGCTTGCAGGGTGCGTGTCTGTCTCCGGGCGCCACACCCGTGGGTTTTGGTTGTCCTTTGTGCATGTTTAAATTAATATTCCAGGTTTATGGAGGGCTGAGTGTGTGAGAGCGAGCGAGTGAGCGAGCGAGTGCCAGTTGTTTGTCAAACAGAGGGCATTTCATGCCCTCCCAGTTTGCTTTCTGTATGCAGAGAATGAGGTTTCTCCTTCCCTCACCGAGTGAACAATTTTTTGTGAGTTCTGCAGGGTTTATTTATTTATTCATTTATTTTTCAATTTATATCCTGCCTTTTTCCTATAAAGGGCTCGAGGCAGCTTACATCATTCTCCTCCATCTTATCCCCACCACAACAGCCCTGTGAGGTAGGTTGGGCCTAGAGCCTGTGACTGGCCCAGAGTCACCCAGTGGGCCCCATGGCCGAGCGGGGACTCGAACCCGGATCGCCTGAGTCCCAGTCCCGCGCTCTTCACCACTATATTTTCCCGGTCGGGTCCCTGTGCCTTCGTGGGAACACGTCAGCCTGCAGAGGAGCAGAGTCCGGGGGCCGCTGTCTTGGGGCACGTCACTCACACCGGGCAGCGTGTGACCCGGATAAGCGCCAGGGTCTGGAAAAGGCCTTTCTGTGTTCTCAGTATCTGTCGTGCTCTCAGCGATATTCTCGGTGCTGATCTTGACTCGGACTTTTACCCGGGGACGGGACGAGCCGCTTGCCAAGCCCTGTTCCCAGAGAACACTAAAAAGAGAGTTTCTCAGGGCGGAGGACGTGGGAAGGCCGGGAGCCTGTCAAGGCCAATACAGGCCCCACTGGCCAGCAGCCGCGCCGTTCTTTCAGGCCGGAGAAGCTTGCTCCCTTCTCTGGGGACTTTTTTATTTTATTTTATTTTATTTTTCGGTTTATAGCCTGCCTTTTTCCTACAAAGGGCTCAAGGCAGCTTACATCATTCTCCTCCATCTTATCCCCACAACAACAACCCTGTGAGGAAGGTTGGGCTGAGAGTCTGACTGGCCCAAAGTCACCCAGTGGGCTCTGTGGCCGAGCGGGGACTCGAACCCGGATCGCCTGAGTCCCAGTCCCACGCTCTTAACCACGACACCACACTGGATGCCGTGACTTGAACCCAGGGCCGCCTGCATGCAGAGTTGGGGCTCCCCTGCTTCTGCCCATTGCTCTCACGGGGTGCGGGGGGGGCACCCCTAGGGCAGGCCGGCCTTCCCGAGGAAGCCCCTCCCGGCCGAGCGGCTCCGTCCGCAGCACTGATTTGGCCTCACACCCGAAGGGCCGCTTCGCCTTTTCGTGCGGAACTCGCCCCCCCCCAGCGCACCTGTGAGGTGAGCCTGCTTGCAGGTGCTCGCTTTTCCGGTGCGTGCCTCTCATATTTAAGATTTCTGTCCTGAGCGTGACCTGCCGGGAGACTGTCAGGGGTGGCTGCCGGAACAAACCCGCCTCTGCCTGGCTTTTCAGAGGAGCTGCGCTCAGAGTATTCTCCCGAGCAGAGCAGGGGGGTGATCCGAGAGGCATGCCCCATTTTCTTTGCATGCATCTTGCAACAGGAATTACCTCCGGCAAAGCCAGTTTATGCCCTCCTATTCAGGGACGTTCCCATTTTAATTCCGCCCTGGGCTGAGTCTGAGTCCGGTGGGTTCAGGCGCTGTCCTTCTTGACCCTCGGTTAAAATATTGGGAGCTGTCCCAAACTGTTCTGGAGGGGACGGGATAGAAAAGGAGAGCCAGGGTGGCATCGTGGTGAAGAGCGTGGGACTGGGACTCGGAGGATCTGGGTTCGAGTCCCCGCTCGGCCATGGAGCCCACTGGGTGACTCTGGGCCAGTCACAGACTCTCAGCCCAACCTGCCTCACAGGGTTGTTGTTGTGGGGATAAGATGGAGGAGGAGAATGATGTCAGCGGCCTTGAGCCCTTCTTAGGAAAAAGGCAGGATATAAATCAAAAAAAATAAAATAAAAAGCGTTTAATTAACAAATAAATGGATGGGAAATAGGCCGAGGCTGGCTCAAGTGGCGCTCACGGGCGTGTGGACGAGGCCGGCCACGACGGATCCCCCCGGCTGCCCCCGTTGCCGGACAGACCCCGGCTGAAGCAGCTGTGCAAGGACCCAGGAAACGGGGCGGGAGAGAGCAGGCCGCAGGCGCCCAGCACAGGCCTCGCAGGGGTGTCTCCGGGCAGGTGCTCTGCTGGCGGTGCTGCCTCCGCTCGCCCTGCTGGGCCTCCGCCCGCGTCCCCGACCTTTCAGCGGCCCGTGCCCCATGCGCTGGGTGGCAGGTAGGCGGGCGCTCACCGTGCCCTTGGGGCCGAGCTCGGCTCGCCTCACCTGCTGCGTCACCACATACCTGGCGAGCATGTTCACCTGGCGGGCGGGTGGAGCCTTGTTCCTGCCCGAGCCCTGAGTCAGGGAAAGCCCGTTGCCGCTGTGGAATGCGGGCTTTCTGCCTTGCAGCCCTTCCCTGCCTCTCCCATGCCGCATTCGCTCCGGTGGGGTGTGCTCACACGAAATTGCCCTGCGGGTGCCAGAGTGGCGGCGTCGCTCACCACCTGGCTAGAAGAGTCAGCAAAGGTGGCCACCTAGGGCCGCCTTCCTGGGAAGGGGTAGCCAAAAAGCTCTAAGGGTAAGCACCCCTGTTCCGAGCGAATACTCGTGGAAACATAGAAACTGAGCAAGTCAGAAGGGGCCTCCCAGGCCATCTAGTCTGACCCCCGGCTCCAGCCGGCTCCGCTCACAACATGCCCACCATGTGGACGTCCAGCCTATCCTTGAACACCCGCACTGATGGGGCCCCAACGACCTCTTGTGGAAGCCCATTCCACACCCTCGGGGTCCTGATTGTCAGGAAGTGCTTCCCGGCATCCAAATGGAACCTGGGCTCCCTGAGCTTTGCTCCGTTGGAGCCTGTCCTGCCTTCCTCTGCAGGGGAGAACAGGTCTCTGCCCACCTCCGTGTGACACCCCCTCACATACACCAACAGATCCCCTCGGAGTCTCCTCGAGGCTGAAGAGACCCAGCTCCCTCAGTCTCGCCTCATACGGCTTTCCCTGCAATCCGACCACCATCCTTGTGGTGGGGAAAGATGTGTGGGTGCTTTCTTGACCCCTTAGCCAAGGGGTGGCGGTCTGCAGGGCTTCAGAGCCAGGTCTGGAGATGGGGTCGGGGTGGGGTGGGGGCTGCTCTTGGCATTCTTGAGGGCTCCGCGAACCTTTCCTGATGGTGCGCCGTCCGGAGGCCCCCCCCCGTGGCTCGCCCCGGTCTCCTCGGCCTTCTGTGGCTTGGCATGGGAGCCGGTCCTCTTGCGCCCATCCAGACTGGCTTGTGCCGCCCTGGGGACCACGTGTCCCGGAGGGAGGCCTTGGACTGCGAACGGCAAATCGGGAGGCAGAGGCCCGAGCATGTGAGCGGGGCGGCTGTGCCTCTGCCCTGCTTTTGCCCCGACATCTGGAGCGAAACGGCGGGGCTCCGTTCCGGAGCCGGGCTGGGAATTTTCTGTCGGCGACCCACCGCAGGATTTTGCAAATGGGCTGGTTCAACAGTTTTATGAGCGCGGCGTAAGACCTGGAGCTGCTTGTTCCCCAGTCCCAGGTGTGGGTGGAAGAGCCCGGCCATCTCCCGCCTCCCACCATGCCCTGGCTCTGCATCTAGTCAACAGCGGGAATTAAACTTCCGGGCAGAGGTGGGCAGCCCTCCCTGCTCATTCTCCCCATAGCCCTCGGGGCCGAGAAGCGTTTCGAGGCCTTGGGAAGGCTAATCCAGTGGAGCCAGCCCTGCGCTCCATCGTTAGTCTGTTAACGAGCTGGGGGGCTTCTGCGTCACGGCCTGCCTCGTCCCACCCCTCTCCGGGGGTACGGAATTGCACTCCAGTCCGTCCAGGGAGCGCCCGGTTGTGGGAGGCTTCCGGCCAAATTTGTGCAATTCCTCCGGGGGCTTTTGCAGCTTTACCCTGCATACCAGTTTGCGCACAGTCGAAATTGTGGTCCAGAAATTGTGGCTTAGGGGGCAGCGCTGGAAGGGAAGCATCCCAAGGACGAGCTCACGACCCGAATGGTTTCCCCAGTGGAGATTCCCAGGAGATTTACAAGGGTGCCCGGCCCGGGAGGCAGAGTCCCGGCCAGGCTGGTGGTGCAGGATCCGCCTGCGTCCCCTTGCGGGGAGGGTCCCTGCAGCCACGGCAGGGGTGGGAGTTTTTGAACAGCACCTGTCCCGGTGGCCTGCCAGCTCCTTTGGGAGACACAGCCACCCCTTTGCCTTCGCCCCACACCAAACCCAGGATTCCCCGTGCGGTGCAGCCGAGGGGCGGACGGGTCGCCGGTTGGAAGCGTGGCCCGCCGGGAGCGTGTTGCTCTCTGGCAACCCCTCCGGGGTTTGGTGAAGGGGCTCCCAGGCTGGATGGAAGAGGAGAGGCAGCTTTCTCCGGAGCACGTGGTGGGGCGGGCTTTTCCCTTGGCCTCAGAGAGCCCCTGGGCCTTCAAAGGGGCCTTTGTGTGCGAGCGCCAGCCAGGCAGGGCTCCGGGAAAGGGCGGCTTAGCGCGGGGCCCCAGGACCACCGGCCTCCGGAAGGAGCCCTCGTCAGCGCCGGGAGCAGCGCTGCACCCAGGCGGCACCCTGGGGCCTGCGCGCTCGGCCGGGCCTCTGGGGACGGAGGGAAGCCCAGCCCAGCTCCAGGGCCCTGCTCGAGCGGCCGCCTCCGGGTGCAGCTGCCTGGGCGTTGCAGAGGGAGGCTGGAGAGCCGCTTCCGGTGTGCCCAGCAAGCGCACTGGCTCAGCCTCCCTGGGCGAACACGAAGCTGCAGGGCGATCCCGGCACAGCGGGCGGGCGGGCGGGGGTCTCCTGTCTGGAGCTCCAGAGCGGCCTCTCCCACCAGCCCTCGCCAGCTGTCAGTGGTGGGGGATGATGGGAATGGCAGTCGGGGGCCACACGCCTCCTGCTTCTGGGAACGGTGGCCGCCTTGCCCCTCGGCCTCCTGGGGCGGCCGTCCCGAGAAGCCGGCCTCCGGAGCGTCGTGGCACAGTCCGTCGTGCAAGCCGCTCGTTGCCCGGCCGCTTTGGCCAGGTTGCCCCTGCGGCTTGTGCAAGCGGAGCGGGGGCCCTGCGCCCTGTTTCCGTGCCGTGGGCAGCCGAGGGAGGCCGGGGCAGCAGCCTCCGTCTTGTGCCAGGCCCCGACTCTCCCCCGGTCGGCAGGAGAGGAAGGGACCCGCAGCTGCGGCTTCTGGGCCCGCTGGGGTGGCACGATTTGCCTGTGACCGACGCGACGCCTGAGCCCTGTGGCTGGGAGTCAGCGGCTCTCGAGCCTCGCAAGCTTCTCCTGCGCCACAAGCGCGCAGCCTGGTTGTGTGTGCCGGGGACGTTCGTGGCCCGCACAATCCTGTTCAAAAGTCGTCGTTTACGTTTTCTCCACAGGGAAGGCAGGATCGAGAGTCTGGCGTCGCCGGCTGGCCATCCCCCCCACCGCTGAGCGCGGGTCGCGCCCAGGACCCCCCCCACCATGTTCCACCTGATCAAGAAGGACAGGGACGGCTCCCGGCGGGAGAAGAAGGAGAAGGCGCGCATGTCTGCCGCCGAGCTCAAAAGCCTGGAGGAGATGAGCGTCCGGCGGGGCTTCTTCGGCCTGAACCGCTCCTCCAAGAGGGACGCGAAGAGCCGCCTGGAAATCTCCAGCCCGATCCCCATCAAGGTGGCCAGCAGCTCCGACCTGCAGCTCACAGACATCGACGCGGACGGCCCCCGGGGGAGCGTGCTCCCGGACGCGGGGCGCCTCGGCGCGGCCAGCTCCAGCGACGACCTCAAGGGCGACGACGGCAACTTCCGGGGCTCGGTGCTGCAGCGGGCCGCCAAGTTCGGCTCGCTGGCCAAGCAGAACTCGCAGGCGATCGTCAAGCGCTTCTCCTTCTCGCAGCGGAGCCGCGAGGAGAGCGCCTCCGAGACCTCCACGCCCTCCGAGCACTCAGCCGCCCCCTCCCCGCAGGTGGAGGCGCGCATGCTGGAGGCCCAGCTGGCCAGGCAGGGCCTGGGGCCGGGCCCCCCGGCGCCCGCCTCCCAGGCCAGGCCGCCCGAGGTGGTCGGCAAGCGCTTCCCCGCCGACCTGCGGCTCCCCGCCGTGGTGCCCCCGCAGCCCCCCGTGCCCCGGGAGCTGGAGCTGCAGCGGCGCAGCACGGGAGACTTCGGCTTCTCGCTGCGCCGCACCACCCTGCTGGACCGGGCCGCCGACGGGCAGGTGTACCGGCGGGTGGTGCACTTTGCCGAGCCCGGCGCCGGCACCAAGGACCTGGGCCTGGGCCTGGTGCCGGGCGACCGGCTGGTCGAGATCAACGGGCGCAACGTGGAGAACAAGTCCCGGGACGAGATTGTGGAGATGATCCGGCAGTCGGGCGAGACCGTGCGCCTGAAGGTCCAGCCGATCCTGGAGCTGAGCGAGCTGAGCCGGTGCTGGCTGAGGGGCGGGGAAGGCCCCCACCAGGCAGCCTTTGACGTGAGTAGCCGCCCGGCCGGCGGGGCCACGGGGAGCCTCGCTTGGGGAGCCCTCGGAGCTCGGGGTCCCCCTTTGGAAAGGTGGGCCAGGGGCACTGACCCTGTTTGCCTGAGCAGTTCAGGCCAGGTGTTGTGGGGGCCGGTTGGCCGTGAGGATTCGTCCCCGTCGGGCTCGTTCCGTCCGCCTGCAAGCAACCCTCCGGGGTCACCAAGACCCTGGGTTGTGGATGTGACAGAACCCGGGACTCTGGGTTGATAGCGGGTTAGCGTAAGCCAGAGTTAACCCGGCCACTCCCCACGGCTGGGTGTGCGGCGAACGGGCAGGTGGCTCGGTGCGTGTTGCCTTCAGCCGGGTCCTTTCCGGCTGTACCCCAGCTGGGAACTGGGTGTCTGGTATGAACTGCATCGATAGCTCCTTGCTGGAAACAGAACAGCCGGGAAGTGCGGGCGCAGCACCCCAGAACTCCAGTGAGAATTGCAGGGACCCCCCAGCACGAGCTGGAGATGCAGTGACACGCTGGAAAGTCAATCAGGATTGAGAGAGTGGTAGGCGCAACGCAACGCAGCAATTTTGTGGTCCTGAGTAAATTAGCTTGTGCGAAGCGGTCAGGGGAGGCAGGCCGGGCCGTGTGCGAACTCTGGGGGACAGCAGAAGCGATCGAGCCGTTCTGGAGTGACCCACAAGCGACAGCGGCCGGGCCTCCGTTTTTGTTGGTCTGGGGGATGTCTGGATGTCGCTGCCCCATATGGGGGAATGAGGACGGGAAGGGTGGCGGAAGCGTAAAGATGGCACAGGCTTGCCAAGAAGTGGGATCTTTCTCAAAATGGGCCAAAACAAGAAGGGATCGGACATTGGGAACCATTTTTCTGGTTTGGCCAAGGATGGGGCCCCTCCACCCCCTCTTTTTGGGAAGAACCCGGGGTGTTAAATGAACCCTGCTTGTCGTGAAGCCCGAACTGAGTCGGCCCCATCTTTCAGGCCCCATGGAAAAGAGAGTTCCGGACTCTTCCCCTGCTCCCACGAAGTTTTCTAGGGAAGTTCAAACATCCCTGGAATATAGGCTGGTGCAGAGCACACGTTTATCCCGGAGAGAAGTCCTGTTGAAAATGCTCGCGTGCTTGGGACGGGACGCGGAGCTGGAGGCCGTGCTGGCTGTGACCTCCCCGCCCCCCCCCCCCGAATCAGCTGGCTGTGCGTGTCCTTGGCCTCCGTTTTGGCGTGTCTGTGGGTGGGGGCAGGGAGAAGAGAGCGGCTTTGTCCGGGCGCTGCAGCGTCCAGCTCCGGGTTGGCACTGGGTGCACGTGGGTGGGCCCGGCCTCGCCAGCGCGTTGCGCATTCCTCCGGGAGGGCTTCTCGCGCTCCCGGGCCAAACACGTTGCGTAATGACTGTGTCTGGGCTGCTTGCACGGATCCGCGCTCCTTTCCCTTCCCTTTGGAGGGGCTGCAAGAGAGGGGTTTGTCTGCCCCGGGGGCTTTTGGCAGGCTGGGGGCTTTGGTGCGCTGCCAGCAAAGCCAGCCGCTTCCTCCCTCCCGTTCCTTGCAGGAATAGAAGGATAATCGGGAACGGACGGGCAGAGCAGCCTTCCCCGACCTGTGCCCTCTCTTTGCCAGCAATGCCAATCTCATCATTCCCAGAATCCCGCCAACCCATTTTTTAATTTATTTAAAACTTTTCTGGACTGTCCCTCACTGAAGTCTTGGGACAGTTTCACGATGCAGCAATGCAGAATAAAACACAGCCCCCGTAAAAATTCGGGAGACGATGAACCCGACTTAAAACAGTCCGATCTTAAAGCATGGGGGAAATAAAAAGGTTTCAGCCCGGTGCCGAAAAGAATAAAGCGACGGCACCAGGCGAACCATTCTGGGGAGCGGATTGCACAGTCGGTGCCACCGCAGAGGAGGCCCTTCTCCAGGGAGCCGCCTCCTGCTCCTCCTCCAGGGCTGCCCCAGTCCAGTCCCGAGCAGGCGGCTTGCGGGGCCGCTTTTCCGGGCTGCCCAGGGGGGCGCCCACACCTCGATCGCGCCCCCCTTCCTCCCAGCGTCCCGGGCGCGGCTGGCACCCACTTCTTCTCCACGACTCCTGCCGTCGCGCAGGGATGATTCAAGCCGGCTGGAACAATACACAGAAATACAATACACGTCCGACCGTGCCAGGATACGGCATCGCCTGGGAAATCTGCCGCCGTGCGTAGCCTCTGCCCGTTGGGACGGCTTGACTCAAGCCGCTCGCGTCAAAGTGTTCTTTTTGTCCGGGGGGCCGGGGCAGCCAAGTTTGGCGTGGGCTCCTGCTGGCCTTGGCTCTCTCTCGAGAGAACGGCCCGTCCCGGCTTGTGCTCCCGTGTTCTCTCTCTCCTCTCGCTTTCTTGCTTGTGTGAGGCACGGAAAGTCAGTTGCAGCTGGTCCCTGTGATCGTGCAAAGCAGAAAAGGAAAGCGGAGCCGAGGCATCCGCGCTCTGACTTCTGCCCAAGAGCCAACTTGGTCTGGAGCCGAATAAACACCAGTTTAGGTACTTCTTGTTGCACAGAATCGCCGTAAGAAAATAATTCCATGCCCTCTGTCCCGCTTCTCGCTTGTCTTTACGGATGCTTATTTGGTTTTTCTGGACAGTACCTTTGAGGGGGTCTGCAGAGCAGAAAGACGGCTCCACATTTCACCAAGTAGTGAGTAAACTGCAAGCACTAGGATTCTGCCGAGCTTTCCGGCCCCCTGCACTTTTCTGCGATCGTGCCCCCCCCCCCGTGCAAAGTTTCCTTTCCACCGGCTGTGCCGACCGGAGATGATTGGTAATAATAATAATAAAAAAATATAATAAGTTGTAGTCCAGATAGGGGGGCAGCCGCTGCCAAGACGGAGGCAGCTCGAGAAAGAGGAGGCGTGTGGGGCTCAAGACCTGGGACGTGGGGGGGGCGTCTGCCCCCGAGCGGGTGGCTCGGCTCGGCTCGGCTCGGCTCGGCCCCTTCGCTGCGGCTCGTTGCTTTGCAGCCTGAGCTCGTGGGACTCTCTGCACGGTTTAAAAGCCTCGCGACCGAGCGGAGAAGGGAATGATCTGCAGGTTTCATGGCTGGACCCGGTTTCATCCGCCTGTCTCCAGGCCGCGTCGTCTCCGCTCGTTTTCGCTTCTGCATCCTCTGCCCTGCCTTTGAAGATCGTGCCAGAACAAAGCGGAGTCGCGGTGTGTGCTGTGAGAGGATGTGCCCCTGCCTCGCCCCCCCCCCCCCAGCTTTCAGGAACTGAAAACCTTGCTATGCAAAGCAGCTTTCAGGAACTGAAAACCTTGCTATGATCGGCACAGCTGCTTCTTGTGGCCAGCGGGCCCTGCTCCGTAATGCGTTCCTGCCTGAATTCCGTCCCTTTTGTGACCCATTTTGGGTTTTCCTTGATAAAAAGAGGGATGCCGCCTGAATATATCACATTTGATGTCTGTCCGTTTGGTGGAGGTGTGAGTCAGGGCAGGGCCGATGGATCGCGCCCCAGCCCGTGTCGAAACACACATGTCTGCCCTTGGCCGCTTTTGCTGCCGCCGCCGACAGACATCTGGGAAATCGTCCTCCCCATGGCCCCTGATTTTGTGGGCAGTTTGTGGTCACAGAATCGTAGAACAGTAGAGCTGGAAGGGGCCACGGACACCCCTAGCACACCCCTAAGGTGGTGGAAAAGCTGTTAGGGCTAGGAAAACGAGGTGTCCTGGCGTGATTCTGATGGCTGGAATGTCTTTAGAAGGGGCAGAAATGATGAGCTGCGCAGAAAAAGCTACTCCAGGAAGGGTTTTTCAGAATCGCCCTCTTACCAGGGGAAGTATACCCCTATATTAGGGTTAGGGTGAGCACCAGGGTAGGGTTAGGGTTAGGAAAAGGGGGTGTCCTGGCATGGTTTTGATGGTTGGAATGAGTGTAGAATGGGCAGAAATGCTGAGTTGCGCAGAAACAGCTACTCAGGGAAGGCCTTTTCAAAATGAAGGCCACCGGCTCCACCGCCTGCTCTTGCAGGACACCCCGCACACCACCCCACTTGGATGGCTGCCCAGTTTCGCCTCGGGCGCCGCCAGTGTGGGAGAGCCCCCGACCTCCCCAGGCCGCTCCGAGAGGCAGGAAGCTTTTCCGGATAGCTGCTCGGCAGAGGCCCGTGGGTTTGCTCCAGGGAGCCTGGTCCCAGCAGGGCCGGGAAGAGCGATTTTGCCACGCCGTGTGGCCCGTGGCACGCAAACTCGCCGCCCGGCCCTCGGGCTTGGCACTCGCAGGGGGGCCGGGCCGGGCCGGGCCCCCCAGCTCGTGCCGCTGGTCCCGAAGTCGGCTGCCGTGGGTGAGCTCAGCGCTCGAAGGCCCGTGGCTTGTGAGCCTCTCTGGCCAACAGCTCCGCCGAGGACGCGCATGCGCCAGCCGGGTGGTGTGGGGGGGGGCAGGCTGCCCCATGTGGGGGGCCCCGTCGCCTTCCGGCTGACCGAAGCCCCACACGGACCCGCGGGCAGCGAGTGCCCTTTTCCAGGCCGCCGGCCGCCTCCCTGTGCGCCGCTGCTGATTTTTCCGTCCTGCCGCTCTATCGACCGCCCCGGCAACGTGGCTCTCATCCGGAGCGCAAGCTGGCCGCGTGCTTGGCGCTGGACTCTGGGCGGGGGGAGGCTCGGTCTTCACTGCTGGGGGCGTTTCAAAATCCCCCTGCGCAGAGCCCCACAGTCCGGGCGGCAGCCTTCAGTCCCCCTTGCAGGGGGGGCTGTCGGTTCATTTATTCGGTTTAAAGCAGCCTTCTCCAGCCATGCACCTCTGGGGTGCGTTGGGCTGCGGCTCCCATCGTCCCCAGCCCACTCGGGATGGGGGATGATGGGAGCTGCAGTACAACAGGTCTGGAGGGTTGGAGGAGGAGGGTTTCAGTATCGTTTGCATGGGAGGTCAGCGAATCGCCGGTAGCAGCTGCTCAGGGTGCGACTGACGGTGCACGCGGCCCCTGGGGGTTCTCGGAGCCCCCCAACACTGGCCTGCAGCTCCCACCTGTCTTAGCGTGA